ATAATTTTATAAACAGGTAAAAGTACTTGTGCCCTTTAATACAGAACAGATCGTTGACATTTCTCTTATTAAAATACTGCCCCTCCATCTACCACGTTAAGTTATAGCGTAAGGGTGGCAAAATATACAAAATTAAAGAAGATCTTAACCACAAATTTAGCTATAAACATGGAATCCAGAATGTGACAAAACATAGATTCCGCCTTCAATGATAACTAATTTAAGATTTGACGTTATGAAATCTGTTTAGAAAAGATAGTTGCTTGAAAACTCAAATTACAAACAAATTTCTCACAAAACCAGTTGAAGGATGTATAAAAAATTCATAGGCACACCAGCCCATTGGACTGTTGGTAAGCCAAGTCCAGCTCACATTCTGACACCTTTACCCCATTCTGAATGCTTACACGACCATATGACATTATGTATACCGACTTTTTGACATTTCTCTTATTAAAATACTGCCCCTCCATCTACCACGTTAAGTTATAGTGTAAAGGTGGCAAAATATACAAAATTAAAGAAGATCTTAACCACAAATTTAGCTATAAACATGGAATCCAGAATGTGACAAAACATAGATTCCGCCTTCAATGATAACTAATTTAAGATTTGACGTTATGAAATCTGTTTAGCAAAGATAGTTGCTTGAAAACTCAAATTACAAACAAATTTCTCACAAAACCAGTTGAAGGATGTATAAAAACTTCATAGGCACACTAGCCCATTGGACTGTTGGTAAGCCAAGTCCAGCTCACATTCTGACACCTTTACCCCATTCTGAATGCTTACACGACCATATGACATTATGAATACCAACTTTTTGAGCAGATTTTGCACAGCCTTCTGAACTTATGATCATCAGATAATATACAGGAAAGCCTTGTTGCCTTTTTGCTTTCCTTTTTCTTCCTTCTCTTAAAATGTATGAGCTAAAATTTAAAACTAGATGGGGTATCCTGTGCTCAATAATGTCTCAGCATTTGAATGTGCAGATTGAGTGAGACACTGTCAATCTTTCAGTGCAATAGAAGGGAACAGAAAAATGAAATGACAAATTGAAGAATAAACACTTGGTCAACCATATATTGCCTTCCCTAATGTTCTTCTACTTGGGAACAGTCTAGCATTAGCAAGGACTGTGACCACAAATTAGAATTATCATGGTCAATCAAAAGCATCAACTCATACTCAAAATATCTTGTGCACAGCCAGCAAACCAGTCATACCAATCTTCACACAACCAGTAGATTGTGACACAGCAATGGTGACAGACCATTTGAACCAGAACTTGAAACTATCTACTGAACTCTAACAGACAAAGCAGACCATACAAGATAAGCCTGCAGTCTAAAACTAACAGAGTAGGATGATGCCGACTCATTTTGCAAGTAATATCTACTGAACCCTGATCTTCGAAGATTCAAACCAAGAAATCAACAATAACGAAAGCTCATAAGTTTACAAGTTAATCACAACTGAGGGACAAAGCCCCACTAATGAAACAAAGAAGAGAATGGGAGAAAAAAAAAAAGGTACAAGCAAAAAAATGGCAATTACAAAACATTCCATATCCATTAAATGTTTATACACATGGATAAAACTGGCACTGCTAATATACCATTTAGAGATGACAGTATTTAAATTGAGTATTAGGAACAAGACAGAACAAGAGTTACCTTGCAAGACTTGCATATATCATCTGAGATGGTTGCTACATGTGACCATGGTAATGTAGCATTAATACAAGAGACCTTTTTAAAGCCCAACCGCGTCCCTGCTATCCGTTCCTTAAGCGCCTTGTATTCATGTTCGGCCAAGTACCTTATATGGTCCTAATAATACTTGACAAGGAGAACATACTATCAGCATTACATTGATCATTTTACACATACATAGTACTGCCTAAATGTCATCAAAATCATTTCACATCAGTTGTAGATTATGTATTTTAATAGAAGCATTACATACATGGCAAAGCACTCGAATCAAACAGTTCAGCTATGGCTTCTTTTCATCTGAATCAAATCCAGCTTACTCTATCAGCACGAGGTTCATATACAGCCAATAAATCATCTTGATTACCAATACGCTTCCCCTGTTGCCAAGTTTCTATTTTTAAAAAATCCCATAAGTTTCTTATCACTCTTAACAAGAAATTAAGCAAGAACAACTAAATCACACACAAAAAACTAAGATAAGCAAAGAACAAGAATCTAGAGTTAAAAAAAAGAATTTTTTTTTATCAAGGCAACATGAAGGGATTTGAGTTTGGAATCCTCAGACTCACTTGAATGCCAAAGTCCTGGTCTTGGAAGTCATAGAAAGTTCGGACGCGGAGACAGGCTGCAGCCCAGAGCTCAGTGTCCAAAGTGGCTTCAGAGACATCTAGGAATGACTTGTCAATTCTTATTTTTTGTGGTGCTGATTCCTTTGTGGTTGGATGTGGTGTTTGCTGGTGGTTATAAAGTTCCGAAGAGATGGACAGTGACAAAAATGGTGGAGGTAGTTAGCGGTGGCAATGGGTGGCGATCAGGGCGGTGGTGGTGACGACAGGGTGGACTTTTGAGTTGAGCGGACAAGGTGATATTAGGATAGCCATTTCAAGTTTTCTCAATGTTTTCAAACCCTGATCATATCGGCAGTTGGACCGCAGGTCGGCCATGTGTTCGGTTCGATTCATAGCTTGTGTTGATCTGGATCAAGAATCGGTCAAAGTCATAAAAAAAATTTGTTAAAACCGTTCAAACCGGTTCGAACCATTAACCGCGATTTTTCAATTTTTGGTCAAAATTGATTGAATTTTCAATTTTGACTGAAATTATCTAAACCTAATCTTCAGTTCACTCTTCACTCTTCAGATAGTCAGGGGTGTGTAAAGTCGAAAAATTTCGATTTCGAAATCGATTTCGAATTGAATTCAAAAGTTCGAATTCGAAATTTCTGTAATTCGGAAGTGAATTCAGTAATTTCAATTTTGAATTGGTCGAAATCAGATCGAATTCGAAAATATAATTTTTAAATTTGAAATTACCGATTTTGAATCGAGGAATTCGAAATAAGAATTCGAAATCGAAAATTCGATATCAAATTCGAATAATAATATTTATATATAATATAATAGTTTTAATAATACACATATAATATATATTATATAACATAATAAGTTAATAATTGAAATTGAAATTGAAATAATAAGTTAATACATGACATTGCAAAAACGCTAATCCTTACTCTTCCGCCGCAACTTCTTCCTCATCGCCTCTTCGTCACTGTCTAGTGTCTTCCTCAGAGTTGAGAGTCTCACCTTCTTTCCTCCGCCTCCACCGCCTGACTTACTGTCTCACTGAACTTCTTTCCTCCGCCTCCGACTCAGCTTACTCTCTCTCACTCTCGGTTTCACCTAATAACTCCTCTTTCCCTCCGCTGCAGCATTCTTCCCTGTCTGACTTTACCCATCCTTTTTCGCTGCTTTCGGCCCTTCCACTGGGATGCTTTGCCGCCTAATGTGCTGAACCTCCATTGACCTCGAGTCCACGACCTGCAGCCCCAATTTCCCCCACCCAGCAAAACAGTCCAAGGCAGAAAGCCAAGAACTAAAGCAAAAAATTTAGCTAATCTCCGCAGAGTTTGCAAAGGAGGCAATTCTCCACCTTGCAGCAGTCACCATTGACCGACTAGAACCTAGTTGTTCTCTCTTGGTACTCGTTGAAGAGAATCAACATCTAGCTCAACTTGTGACTGAGAGTAAGAGGTACATTTCCATTGTTTTTCTTCTTAAGTAGTAATATTTCTTTCTCCGGTGATGATTATGTTGTAATTGATTGGTTGTTTTGATATTCTCTTGCTAAATCTCTCACTGTGTTTCTTCGGGCAGTAATAGAGAATCTCTTTGTGCTCTTTTTGTTTTCAAATTTCTTAACCTTAATATGAGCAGGAAAATAAATCACAACTTTTTTGGGGGATAAATATTAGCGACTGTATTGGGTAATGGGTATTAATATTTCGGTATAATTAATAGTATATCTGCTTGAAATTATGACTTTGAATTCTCTAATGGTGATTCTAATTTGGAGTATAGTAATTCAAGTTTGAGTAGTCAAGCCTATCCCTCAATCCCTCGGAAGTTGCAAATTGAAATGTTGTTTTACATTTATGATTTATTTGAAATATTTGTTGTCTTATTTGTGTGAAATTTGGACTGGAATTGTTGCTTACATTTGTATTATTTGATAATAGTTGATTTGTATTATTTACTGGGATTGTTTTGTATTTGGAATTTGGACTAGAATGGTTGTATAAGTATTCACTGGAATGGTTGTATAAGTATTCTCGTATGAACTATGAAGTGGTAGAGTTCTTGTGATTTATGGTATTGGAAAGGCACTCTGGTTTGGATGTTTGTACAGGCCATAAGTAATTTCTGCAATTCAAATTCTGCTAGGATGATTGTGTAGGTTGTAATTGTTATGTTATCAGCTACTTAGCTTCATCATTTATCCTTTCCTCTTGAATTTGAGACAGCCGACTTGTGGAATCCAAGGGGACTGCATTAAATTTGAACATGTTTTTCCCTTTTTGAACAAGAGAGGAGAAAAAAAAGAATTCCAAATTTAATTCGGTATCGAATTCAAAATCAGAATTGGCCATTTCGAAATCGAATTTAGTCGGGAAAATTCCAGTCAAAATTTCGAAAATTTCCGATTTCAACTTCCGAATTACCGCTTTCGATTTCGATGCACAACCCTACAGTCAGTTAGTTCTTTTCGCTGCTTTGGTCTTCCTTCTTGCTTCCTCTACAATTGCCGAAATTGCCTGCCGTCTCTATTTCCTTTTCCTCTTAATGGCTTAACCCTAATCCCTTCTCCAAACTCCAAACTCCAAACTCCAATCTTGATCCATAGCAATCAGCAATGAAGTGTTTCTACTCACCGCACCGATTCTAAGCCAAAAAAAAAACTCTGGAATCAATCACGGACAGTGATCTATGGAACCTGCCATTTCCATCATATTAACACCTTATACCTTGCCTATGAAAGTTAAGCAAACCAAAACCATATGCAACTACATGAGGCAAATATTTGGACTTTAAAATGGAAAAAAATCAGATAGCTGTCTAATGTTCAACCAATAGAGTTAGCATAAAGTGAGAGAGACTAGATGCTATGGTGTTGTGGAGAAGAAAACATTGAACAAACCTTTTGAAATTTCTTCTGTAATTCAGCATCCTGAGTAGCCACAAAGAAATGCTCAGAATTGTTTTCTCCAATAATATTAGTTATGCAACTGATAGCACTCTTCTGTTTCTCATGGTCACATTTGAATAAAAGGTTCATCAATGTTTCCTTACAAAAACAAACTAATAGGAGAAAGATGATGCTACATGATCACTACTCATTTTTATACAAAAACGTTTTACAGATGTTTGGTTGTATAGGAGCCAATTAGAAAATCAAGTCAGTAGAACTTTAACTGTATTTAAAAAACTTCCAAAACTCCTCAGAGAAGTAAGAGGCACGCAAGGAAAAGCAAACCTTGCGGTTAACAGGTTACGAGCTGCATTAAGAGATTCAGCATAGGAGTTACCAAGGCTTCTCAACTCGCCAAGAACACATCTGCACCTAGGAGTGAAACCTTAAATGAGTAGTTAACAAACAAGTTATGCTCATCAAACATCTAGCACATCATACAGAACCACGTGAAAAGAACAACCTAGCATTGAAATCCTTTCATTCAAATGTAGCAGATTAGGATAATCCAATATTTAGTTCACAAAGTGCTCTGAGAAAGAATTATTGCATTTAACTTCCATTTAAAGGGACAAGTCACTATTTGCACAAACACAACTTGTTTTGTTGTAGGCATCCAACCACCACCACCACAGTGATGGACTTCATCACCACCTAGATCCATATCTACCATACAATCCCTTAAGGCCACCTGAGGAAGAAAATATATATCCTATACCACCTTTAATTTTGTACAATTGATTGCCCTACAAGAGTACCAACCAAATGCCTATAATCTGTACCACCATTGCATCATCCCGCCATTTTGTCACTTCTCATGCCACCAGAATGCATACCAAAAATGGTAATAGAACTTCACTTTTGTGCCAAGATATCTTTAACTTGAATTTTCATTAAAAAAAAAGGATTAACTTTCTATGCACTGACATTGCAGTGATTTTTTTTTTTACACTAGCAGCCTTGAATGTATGACACATGTACATTATTTGAATTTCAAATTTGAATTCACATTATCTGACATGATCTAAACCTGCTTGTGTAAATAAATCTTTACACCGACAGTGTATGAAAATGTTATCTGAAAAAAAAAAATGCTATGGCAACCCCCTTGGTAGTTGTTATTATGGCCCAAGTCACAGATGCAACAGCACAAGTGTCAAGGATGCTTTAAATGCATTTTCACACAGTAGTACAATGAAACCATAAGCTAATGTTTACCTTCAGCAGGATGCATTTTTATCATCATAAGTTCAAGTTTCTGTACCATCACTATCAAGAGTACTTCTTTACTCTACAAACTTCTATTTTGCCTGATAATCAGATTTCAGCACAACGCCTCAACTTTAATACCAGAACTGTTTTTTGCACAAATCCTATAAGTGTCTATGATATCTGCATATTACCAAAAGTTAGACTCTCCAAAGAATACGTTGTTACAAACATCAAAAGGAAGTTTTCACTCTCTCCCTTTCTTCTTCTCCATGTCTCTTTATCTCATCTATATTTCATATGAAAACTCGGCCCTTTTTTGGTTTTAAAGATATCTCCTTTCAGGTCCCTCGCTAACTATAATCTATTCTGATGTAATTTAGTTACAACCAAAACTCACAAAAAAACAATGTGAATTTCTTCAGCTTACAATTTCTTTTAGCCGCTTACCTTAACAGGGGGGAAAAATAACATAAGAAGCCATGGCTTGGAACACAGTTTTGAAAGTATTACCAGAAAATTAAAAAACTAACAATGCAAGTCATCTGAAAGATTTTGTCTAAACTTTTTATGCAGCAAAAGGAAGCCATTAGACCTGGTAGTAAAAATCTTTACTGGGGCACCTAAAGCATTAGCCAACGCAGTATCAGCAGGAGTGATCTTATTGAGAAGCAGGTGGTGCACAAAAGTTCCATCACACAGAACTTTAAAAAGCTCCCTGAAACCAAAGCAAGCTGTATAGAATCTGAAAGCTTTTCGATGGCGTTTCTGCTTCTTTACTCTCATCTATCAACATCAAGAAAATAATGAATCAACATAAGAATATTGATAACAAACAAGAAAATTGAAATCCATCCCAAATTGTGATTTTTCTGACTTAAGATTTGCAGTATATTTTTTTATGCACAAAAAAAGTTAGGTAAAATTCTAACACTTGACTTCTACATTTCTTTATGAAAATGTCCTGTATGTCCATTTAATTAGCGTCCAATAGAACTCGAGCTGAGGCATTGCGGTGGCCTCAAGACTCACAGAAACAAGGGTAAAAATGGCATGCAAATCTCTTATAGTGTTTGACATGCAGCAGTTTGAGTTAGAAGAAAAACTAATATTCCTCCATTGTTTCTTTTAGTGTATCGTGGGATCTAATTCCACTTCCTCCAGCACTCACTAGACTGACTCGAGGAAGAGTTAAAACAACTTAGCAGCCAGTCATTCATCTAAAGTGTTTCAAGGTCTAAACTTCTACAACAAAAATGTCCATTATTTACGTTACCCAGCACAAAATCTAAGCTAATAGTTTTAGTTCCCTTGAATTAAATCTATCGACATACATACAATAGCATAACACACAATGCCCAAAAGGGATTACGCACATTGCCATTCAAAGTCAAAAAAATCCAACTAAGAAACAAAACTACCAGTCCTTGAGCCAGAATGGAAAAAAAAAGAAGAAAAAAGAAAAATCGACGAACTGAAATAGCTTAAAACTTTGTCCTAGTTTAATAACTATTCGGATGCAATTAAATAGCACAACTAATTATGATTATCCAGCTAAAGAATTTTCCCATCTATTAAGTTGAGTGAAAGTATACACCATTAAACAACCCACCAACATGAAAATATTCTTCATTTGCCACAAAAGAGAGACAGGAAAAAAAGAAAGTGGAATATGAATTCAAAAATCATGAAACCTCAGGCAGGCGACTAGTATGGGAAATTTAATATACACTAATAACAAAAATATATAAAGATACCTGAAAATATTGCTATCTATGGGCAGATAGATATGGGTCGCCACCGTAAGGAAGACCAGAGAAGAAAGAAGAACAAAGGGGGAGGGTATTTGCCCTTTGCGACTTTTTGTCTGGGAGGTTTGGTCGAGGAAAATACTTAACGAATCAAAGGGGTTTTACGGCTGTTTGAGCAATAGGTGAAGGGAATTGCTAGAATAGTCCTTTAAATATTTACTAAGTCTCAATTTAGTTCTCAATATTTTATAGTGCTTTTTAATCCTTTTTTTTTTTTGTAGATTGGACTCGAGAATTTGTATAACATTCAATTTAAAAATTTTATTGAGGTTTAATTATATTTATATAGTCGCAAATGGAGGTTTAGCTATGTTTTAGGCTTCATTCTTTGTTTGGATACCTTTTCTCTTTTCTCTTTTCTATATTTTTTGTCTCTTACGTACTTCTTATTTTTATACTTTCGTTTGAAAAAATTATTTGCAAGTGCATTCTTCGAAAAAAAAAATACTGCACTTAATTATCATATTTCTAACGATCTCAAGTACATTACGTTAGAAAAAATTCAACACTAATATATTAAACAAATGATTAAAATAAATTTTAATCCAAACAAGATATTCTATAAAAACTATCATAGCACAATTTAGTAATATATGTTTTTCTTTCTACTTTGTTAAAATAATTTCTCTGTAAAATTTGACAACTTAATTAACTTATTTTTTATTTTTCTTTGGTAATTAACTAGATCGAAAATTTCATGAAAAAATTCTAGATTAAAAATATATCATTTTTGAAACATCCAGGTTCCTTTGTTGGATGTGCTAAGAATCAAGAAAAGACATCAAATGAGGCTGAAAAGCACCAATTTTGAGTTTGGTACTAAATTTGCAAATTTTCTTTTTCCATCGTGGATCCTTTGCTTTTGCCTCTAACCAAAAGAATGGTATTTTAAGAAAATCTGAAAGTTGGATGAAAGACGGAGAAAAAGTTTTTCTGAAAAATTGGAAATGGCTATCCTAAGATCACCTTGTTCGGCCATGTGTCCGGTTCGGTTCATAACTTGTGTTGACCTGGATCAAGAATCGGTCAAAACTGTAAAAAAAATGTTAAAACCGTTCAAACCGGTTTGAACCGTTAACCGCAATTTTTCAATTTTTGGTCAAAATTGACTGAATTTTCAATTTTGGCTGAAATTATCTAAACCTAATCTTCAGTTCACTCTTCAGTCAGTAGGTTCTTTTGGCCGCTTCCGTCTTCATGCTTCCTCTACAATTGCCGAAATTGCCTGCCGTCTCTATTTCCTTCTCCCCTTAATGGCTTAACCCTAATCCCTTCTCCAAACTCCAAACTCCAAACTCCAAACTCCAATCTTGATCCATAGCAATCAGCAGTGATGTTTTTCTACTCACCGCACTGATTCTAAGCCAAAAAAAAACTCTGGAATCAATCACGGACAGTGATCTATGAAGCAACTCAATTCACTTGTTTCGATTCTCAGCTGCTACCCATCAATTCATCAACATCTTTAGGGACAAAATTTATGATCGAGTCTTGTACAGCATTACCAGCACTGAAAGTGAACCTGCCGAGGTGAAAGGTTTTCCCATTTAAGATTTCCTATTGCACTCCTGAAAGGCCTGAAGCTTATACCAGGTTCGTTTATCTTTTTTCCTTTTTTTTTTTCCTTTCGTTGTTGATTACTGAGTTTTGGTTATGATCCATTCCGTCCCCCCGGCCCTATATACTGCTGTAATTTTTGGGCATATGATCCTTATTGACTTGTCATTGCAGCAGCAGCCTAAATGATTATATTATAAGCTGATCAGCCTAAATCAATGTTTTTTTTTTTGTTTGTCCGCAAATTATATAAGCTGTCAGTCTGTTTGTCCTGCAATTTTTGTTTTGTTTTGTTTTTTTACTCATTAGTTTGCTTTGTTGATTACTGGGTTTGTCCTGCAATTTTTTCACCAGTCTGTTTGTCCTGCCGAGGTGCGTGTTTTTGTCCTCAAATTAAATGTTTTTTTACTCGTTCGTTGTTGATTACTGGGTTTGGAAATCCCTCTGTTAGCCCCGGCTTTTGGAGCTGACTCATTGGACTCTTTGTCGACCTCAGGCTCAGGCTCGGGCAACACCTTTGTCTTCTTTTTGAAAGGCATTTTGCAACCAGTTTCAGGGAGTATGAAACTAGGGTTTTTTCGTGGTAGATTAGATCCTTAGTTTTTGGCCGAGGACCAAAAATGTCAATTAATTGGTTGTCAGGTACCAGAGGTTGGTACTAAACCCAATTTTGAATTTCAAGCAGTCAATTCTTTCGATGTCCGTTTCCTACCTTGGCCTTGTGGTGAACGAAAATGTAGGAAACATACAAATTTAAGATAGGCTCTGAAACATGATTCACCGCTGTCTTTGAGGTAATGGTTGGTGATGCATAATAGTCTAGTAAGGATTTGTACCAATTTAGATTGAAAGTTTCATGGTCATAAGTGGAAAAAGTTCATGGATTATCTTTTGGCATCACAGATTCCTCCTTGGCAATGTTTTAATTTATTTGTTGAATATTCATAATTAGCTATGTATTAATTATTTGTTTAAGACTATATATATATATATATATATATATATTATTTATTTGTTTATTTATTGAACCGGGTTGAACCGGTCCGACCTCGACCCTTTCACTTCACCGGTTCAATTGACTGTCCGGGTTTTAAAGCATTGGTTTTTCTCTGTCTTTTATCCAACTTCCGGGTTTTCTTAAAATACCATTCTTTTGGTTGGAGGCAAAAGCAAAGGATCCACGATGAAAAAAGAAAATTTGCAAATTTAGTACCAAACTCAAAATATTGGTGCTTTTCAGCCTCATTTGATGTCTTTTCTTGATTCTTAGCACATCCAACAAAGGAACCAAGATGTTTCAAAAGTGATATATTTCAATCTAGAATTTTTTTCATGAAATTTTCGATCTAGTTAATTACCAAAGAAAAATAAAAAAAGTTAATTAAGTTGTCAAATTTTACAGAGAAATTATTTTAAAAAAGTAGAAAGAAAAACATATATTACTAAATTGTGCTGTGATAGTTTTTATAGAATATCTTGTTTGGATTAAAATTTATTTTAATCATTTGTTTAATATATTAGTGTTGAATTTTTTCTAACGTAATGTACTTGAGATCATTAGAAATATGATAATTAAGTGCAGTATTTTTTTTTCGAAGAGTGCACTTGCAAATAATTTTTTCAAACGAAAGTATAAAAATAATAAGTACGTAAGAGACAAAAAATATAGAAAAAGAAAAGAGAAAAGGTATCCAAACAAAGAATGAAGCCTAAAACATAGCTAAACCTCCATTTGCGACTATATAAATATAATTAAACCTCAATAAAATTTTTAAATTGAATGTTATACAAATTCTCGAGTCGAAACTACAAAAAAAAAGGATTAAAAAGCACTATAAAATATTGAGAACTAAATTGAGTAAATACTTAAAGGACTATTCTAGCAATTCCCTTCACCCATTGCTCGAACGGCTGTAAAACCCCTTTGATTCGTTAAGTATTTTCTTCGACCGAACCTCCCAGACAAAAAGTCGCAAAGGGCAAATACCCTCCCCCTTTGTTCTTCTTTCTTCTCTGGTCTTCCTTACGGTGGCGACCCATATCTTTCTGTCCATAGATAGCAATATTTTCAGGTATCTTTATATATTTCTGTTAGTAGTGTATATTAAATTTCCCATACTAGTTGCCTGCTTGAGGTTTCATGATTTTTGAATTCATATTCCACTTTCTTTTTTTCCCGTCTCTCTTTTGTGGTAAATGAAGAATATTTTCATGTTGGGGGGTTGTTTAATGATGTATACTTTCACTCAGCTTATAATAGATGGGAAAATTCTTTAGCTGAATAATCATAATTAGTTGTGCTATTTAATTGCATCTGAATAGTTGTTAAACTAGGACAAAGTTTTAAGTTATTTCGGTTCATCGGTTTTCTTTTTTCTTCTTTTTTTTTCCATTCTGGCTCAAGGACTGGTTGTTTTGTTTCTTAGTCGGATTTTTTTGACTTTGAATGGCAATGTACGTAATCTCTTTTGAGCATTGTGTGTTATGCTGTTGTATGTATGTCGATGGATTTAATTCAAGGGAACTAAGACTATTAGCTTAGATTTTGTGCTGGATAACGTAAATAATGGACATTTTTGTTGTAGAAGTTTAGACCTTGAAACACTTTAGATGAATGACTGGCTGCTAAGTTGTTTTAACTCTTCCTCGAGTCAGTCCAGTGAGTGCTGGAGGAAGTGGAATTAGATCCCACGATACACTGAAAGAAACAATGGAGGAATATTAGTTTTTCTTCTAACTCAAACTGTTGCATGTCAAACATTATAAGAGGTTTGCACGCCATTTTTACCCTTGTTTCTGTGAGTCTTGATGCCACCGCAATGCCTCAGCTCGAGTTCTATTGGATACTAATTAAATGGACATACAGGACATTTTCATAAGGAAATGCAGAAGTCAAGTGTTAGGATTTTACCTAACTTTTTTAGTGCATAAGAAAATATACTGCAAATCTTAAGTCAAAAAAATCACAATTTGGGATGGATTTCAATTTTCTTGTTTGTTATCAATGTTCTCATGTTGATTCATTATTTTCTTGATGTTGATAGATGAGAGTAAAGAAGCAGAAACGCCATCGAAAAGCTGTCCGATTCTATGCAGCTTGCTTTGGTTTCAGGGAGCCTTTTAAAGTTCTGTGTGATGGAACTTTTGTGCACCACCTGCTTCTCAATAAGATCACTCCTGCTGATATTGCGTTGGCTAATGCTTTAGGTGCCCCAGTAAAGATTTTCACTACCAGGTCTAATGGCTTCCTTTTGCTGCACAAAATGTTTAGACAAAATCTTTTAGATGATTTGCATTGTTAGTTTTTTAATTTTCTGGTAATACTTTCAAAACTGTGTTCCAAGCCATGGCTTCTTATGTTATTTTTCCCCCTGTTAAGGTAAGTGGCTAAAAGAAATTGTAAGCTGAAGAAATTCACAAATTGTTTTCTTGTGAGTTTTGGTTGTAACTAAATTACATCATAATAGATTATAGTTAGCAAGGGACCTGAAAGGAGATATCTTTAAAACCAAAAAAGGGTTGAGTTTTCATGTGAAATGTAGATGAGATAAAGAGACATGGAGAAGAAGAAAGGGAGAGAGTGAAAATTTCCTTTTGAAGTTTGTAACAACGTATTCTTTGGAGAGTCTAACTTTTGGTAATATGTAGATACTATAGACACTTATAGGATTTGTGCAAAAAACAGTTCTGGTATTAAAGCTGAGGCGTTGTGCTGAAATCTGATTATCAGCCAAACTGAAGTTTGCAGTGTAAAGAAGTACTCTTGATAGTGATGGTACATAAACTTGAACTTATGGTGATAAAAATGCATCCTGCTGAAGGCAATCATTAGCTTATGGTTTCATTGTACTACTGTGTGAAAATGCATTTAAAGCATCCTTGACACTTGTGCTGTTGCATCTGTGACTTGGGCCATAATAACAACTACCAAGGGGGTTGCCATAGCATTTTTTTTTTCAGATAACATTTTCATACACTGTCGGTGTAAAGATTTATTTACACAAGCAGGTTTAGATCATGTCAGATAATGTGAATTCAAATTTGAAATTCAAATAATGTACATGTGTCATACATTCAAGGCTGCTAGTGTAAAAAAAAAAATCACTGCAATGTCAGTGCATAGAAAGTTAATCCTTTTTTTTTAATGAAAATTCAAGTTAAAGATATCTTGGCACAAAAGTGAAGTTCCATTACCATTTTTGGTATGCATTCTGGTGGCATGAGAAGTGGCAAAATGGTGGGATGATGCAATGGTGGTACAGATTATAGGCATTTGGTCGGTACTCTTGTAGGGCAGTCAATTGTACAAAACTAAAGGTGGTATAGGATATATATTTTCTTCCTCAGGTGGCCTTAAGGGATTGTATAGTAGATATGGTGGTGATGAAGTCCATCACTGTGGTGGTAGTGGTTGGATTCCTACAACAAAACAAGTTGTGTCTGTGCAAATAGTGACTTGTCCCTTTAAATGGAAGTTAAAATGCAATAATTCTTTCTCAGAGTACTTTGTGAACTAAATATTGGATTATCCTAATCTGCTATACTTGAATGAAAGGATTTCAATGCTAGGTTGTTCTTGTCACGTGGTTCTGTATGATGTGCTAGATGTTTGATGAGCATAACTTGTTTGTTAACTACTCATTTAAGGTTTCACTCCTGGTTTCAGATGTGTTCTTGGCGAGTTGAGAAGCCTTGGTGACTCCTATGCTGAATCTCTTAATGCAGCTCGTAACCTGTTAACCGCAAGGTTTGCTTTTCCTTGCGTACCTCTTACTTCTCTAAGGAGTTTTGGAAGTTTTTTAAATACAGTTAAAGTTCTACTGACTTGATTTTCTAATTGGCTCCTGTACAACCAAACATCTGTAAAAGTGTTTGTACAAAAATGGGTGGTGATTTTGTAGCATCATCTTTCTTTTTTTAGTTTGTTTCTGTAAGGAAACATTGATGAACCTTTTATTCAGATGTGACCATGAGAAACGGAAGAGTGCTGTCAGCTGCATAACTCGTATTATTGGAGAAAACAATTCTGAGCATTTCTTTGTGGCTACTCAGGATGCTGAATTGCGGAAGAAATTTCAAAAGGTTTGTTCAATGTTTTCTTCTCCACAACACCATAGCATCTAGTCTCTCTCACTTTATGCTAACTCTGTTGGTTGAACATTAGACAGCCATCTGATTTTTTTGCATTTTAAAGTCCAAGTATGTGCCTCGTGTAGTTGCATATGGTTTTGGTTTGCTTAACTTTCATAGGCAAGGTATAAGGTGTTAATATGATGGGAATGGCAGGCTCCAACTTAGTTTGATAGTTGCCATGAATATAATTAGTTATATTCCCGTGAGTAATTGATGAGTTGTCTGACTCTATCATAAAAAATCCCAGTTGCTTGGTATTCCACTTTGCTTAGGTGTTGCATATTCTTTATCAACCTTGTTTGTCACTTCCCAATAAGTGGATGATTTTGGGTCCTAATGTCTGAAAGGGGCTTAACCTTTCTAACTTTTTAGGTGTTACTCAATATAATGGAGAGTGGAGAAGTATCAAACTGTTGATCACTCTATTTTTGGAATCTAAAATAGACATATTCTCTCTAGAACTTGCATAAGGTAGCAGGCATTTTACCTCTTCAACAAAATTTTATCTATTTCTACCTTTTCATTTTCCTTAATGTCTACTTGATGCAGGTACCAGGTGTTCCTCTTATTTATGGCCTTCGGAATGCCTTATTTCTTGAACAGCCGTCAGCTTTTCAACACCAGTTTGTTAGATCTGTTGAGGAAGATCGTTCACATATGACTGACTTGGAATACAAGTTGTTGAATGTAAAGAAAAAGAATGTAGCCTTTGAGGAAGCAAAGGATTCTTCTGATGCCAATGAAGACAAGAATGATGGTACATTTACGGTTCAGGCCATCCAAACAAATTTTAGAAAAAAGAGAGATTTAAAGGACACAGTTCAATTCAAGAGAAAGAGAGCTAAGGTTAGAATCCATCATCTGGCTTCCCTGTCATTTTGTGATTGCTGCAAGTACTTTTGATTGGCATGTGCTTCTCTAATTTTTCAATTTTTTGAATCTCTGTTGAGTGTGTCTTTTCTGAGCTCCCTTCCCTTTCTGAGCTCCCTTCCCTTGTACATTGTAGGGTCCAAACCCACTGTCCTGTAAGAAGAAAAAACCACGTGAGAATACAAATAATGCTGCTTCAGTAAAGGTTGGTTTCATTTCTGAATTCTTGACCTGTATTCTCTGCTTGTATTTCTTGGATTGCGTTCAGTATTATTGTGTTTTGTGTTTTTCTGGCTGTACATCTTTGTAGTTAATTGTGATTAATAAATGCTCTTCTGGATGTTTCAATGATCCCTTGCTGTTTTTCTTTCTCATGAGATGGAGTTGGGTGCAGGAAAATGGGAATGGAGATACAACCGTGAGAAGCAGGAATAGAAAAAGGAAGAGGTCACGTAAGAGTAAAAATGTTTCAAAAGCCAACGTCTAGAACTTTTGCTTCTCTTCGTTATTGTTTGCCAGGTTGGTCGGTGCTTTTAGTTACAAGTTACATTTGCTGAGTAGGGAAACACCCAACTAGAGAGAATACAGTCTATAAAGGTCAAACTTCAGCTTCCTCACCGGATAAAGTAAAATGCAGATTACCATGTCAGACACTTCGTTTGCTTTTTTCTCCTTTTGGTGGTTGTGGACGGGCATTTGGGCTTAGCAGAGGGTGGTAGGAGATGATGAGAATTATAGGAAATTTTGGGTTAGTAAACATTCTACTGGTTGATGCCTTCAACTTTGGCGTGATGTACCCGCTTTTGATATTGTTGTAGGTTTCACTTTGACTTCTTTTTTTCCTCTCCTAGTGTAAATTAATTTTGCTTCTAAATCTCCATATACCAATTGTTGTATTTTCATTGTTCGGAAATTCTATTGATGGTGTTTGTTTATTTACCCTACAATGAATGTTGAAGGGGCGCAAGTTGTTTGAACAACCCTCCAAGCATTTCTTTTCCCTTTCCTGTCGTTATTACCTATGCCTCCTTGGCCTGGTATGCATAGCCTAATAAAGCTTCAGACATCCTGGTTAAATAAGCAGTGGGGCGATTTGTTGGAGGAAGAATCTTGACTCGAACAAAAAACAGTGGTCCATCAATAGCTGTTGCATGGAAGCACGACTCTCATTAATTGGGTCTGAAATATTCTGTCTTGATTTGCCTGTGCTGTGTAGATGATTAGCCTGTTTGCCTTTGAAGTTGTCTAATATTGAACTTGAGCTATAAAGCAGATGTAATTATAACTGTGTGAGCTGCCCTCGCAAGAGTTTTGAAACCTCAAAGTCCTGCAAAAGAACCTCACACCAAAGGAAAGCCATTAATGTTATAGCTCAGCAACTATTTCTGGTAGGTGTTTTGGTTACATTTTCATTCCTTGAGTTAGTACCATGATGTGTTAAATTTTGAACCACTAACTCTAGGTAGTAAATAGGATCTATCAAGTGTTTGCCAATATCATTTTGCCTGCCGCATATGGCTTTTGATCAAGATGGCATGTATGGGCTAGAGGTCATGTTCAACCTAAACTGCCTTTGGAAGAATTTTTGAAGTAATAAACACTTGAAATGATGGGTGAGATTTCGATAGCAGCACAATAACTTTCGAAAACAGCTTTCAAAAATTTGCAGACCAAAGAGAACCGTTTTGTCCAAATAGAAGGAAGCTCTTTATTTACAGCCACATACACCTACGAGCCCTGTGCTGTGGATATTCATATTTGCTCATTGTACCGTGTCCGAGCACACACAGAGCTATATTAAAACAGCAGTTTCAGTTTCACCATTGGGGGGCATTGCTTTGGCTTTGCTTGATGGATCAGGGGCCTGGACGGTTGTTAGTCAACCGTCCGGAAACTTTTCATGGCCAAGATGTAATGGCCCATCATCAACGGCCAAAACGAAGCCACGTCGCAAAGTTATATCAGCTGAAGAAGACGGCGTCGTTTTATTGAGTGGCAAATAAAAAAATAAAAATTTTGCAAACAGATGGAGCATCATCGTCAAAGGGCGTCAAATTTATCCTGCCCAAATTATTAATGCAAAGTTCCTTTTTATCAGAAATTCCCATTTCACTTTCCCGATTTCCCAAACCCTTTCCCCGTTGTCTGCTAATACAAAAAATCACTCCACAAAAGAACTGTCATTTCACTCTACAAAATCACTCCCATCTTACTCCCCGTTGTCTGCTAATTCTCAAAACAACTACTTGAATTCCTCCTAAAGAAGACCCACAGTGTTTTTGGGAGGAGGAGAAACTGCATAAGCCAAGGCCCTGGGGTGTTGCAATAGTTGGAGATTGCAAATTTAATCGAGGTAAGAAACTCTATTTTGTTGAAATGATCGAACAAATTTATCTTTTGTCAGATGTACCGGGCTATGAACTAAAAATATTTACACGCTATTTAGACAGTATACACACTAATATGAAATTTTGAGGGAAAAAAAGACAACGGATGGAATGGCCAATGAATTGGGCATGATTTGGACATAGGTTTAGTGAATGTGTGCTATTTGAAAAAAATATTTACACGCAGTTAGGGTTAAGTGGTTTAATTAGGTTTACAATGAATTGGGCATGATTTGGACATAGGTTTAGTAAAAGATTGCTATTTGAAAAAAATATTTACACGCAGTTAGGGTTAAGTTACATGTGGTTTAAATAGGTTTACAATTTATTGCTTTATTAGGACAACAGAAATTTGAACGCATACGAAAGGAATTCTTGTGGTAGGTATAATAGAATCATGTGAAAAGTGGCTAGGACGGTTTTATTAGTTGCTTGCTTCTTTTCTTTGCCTATTTTGAGAATACGATGACTGTCAATAGTCACAATTGAGCAGATATTCTTATTTGCCTGAAAATTTCATCCTACACAATTTTCTCATTATCATATTTTGTTCACATGAAAGTTAAAATTTTGTGATGGAATACTCAATTAATTGGGCATGAATGGAATATAGGTGACCATGAATGTCTCTTATTTGAAATCACAAAATTGATTGATAGTTAAGGTTAAGTTACAACTGGTGCTATTGGACTTACAATTTGTTGATTTGTTTGGACAATAAAAATTTCAATGCATATAAAAGAAATTGTTGTAGGGAGTATAAGAACATCATGTGAAAGGTGACAAAAGAGTTTTTAGTAGTTGCTTGTTTTTTTTTCTGTACCTATTCTGAGAATGCAATAACTGTCAATATTCACAGTTAAGCAGCAATTTTTCTGTTATTGCTATTAATTTGTTATATGATTTTAGATTGAGAGTTTAGTCAAATAAAGTTGGCATGACATATTGTTATGTTGTTTGTATCAATTGATATTTTTCTTGTACATATTAGTTATTATAGTTTACAAACCTATAGCATGGTAAAAAAACTGAGTGTTCTTTCACTTGTGTATAGTGTACATGGTAAAGAACAAACTGTAAGTATGGTTATTCAATTGTTGATTTTGTGGTTATCTAGGAGTTCCTTTCATTAGGTAATGGCATAATGTTCATTATTCAATTGATGGTAATTGATTGTTTACTTAGGAATTGTAATTTTGACAATGACATAATGTCCATTGTTGCTGTTAACATCATTGGAAACTCCATGACTATTTAATACTAGGGAGTGAGGTAGGAACAGTTGTTAGATCAACCGTCCGTAAATAGTGTAACAAGTTTTGAACATTTTGTAACTTTATATAAATCTCTTGTACATTTGTAACTACAGAAGTGTATTATCACACTTCTGTGAAGAAATCTCAAGGGATAGGATTTTGAAATTATCCCTTATGTTTTTGTCATGTCATTTATTTTGGTGCAGTTTGAAATAATACATTATGGGACGTCGGGGAACCAAGAAGATGAATCTTACAAAAGATAAAGGCAAGCAGGTTGAGGAACATTATGACAATAATCCAGTAAATCCGGTGAAGCCACCAACTGATTTCATTGCATACAGGTATATATGGCTTTATAGAACGATTATTGTCTACATTTGGGGCTTTGAATTAGTTAAAAAACTCATGATAAAATCAAAAGTTTATGTGATGGATCTAATCATATTAAATCATGGCAGGATTGCATACTAATCTATGTTCGAATCATACTAATATGTACACCTTAATAACCAATGTGTACAAGTAAAACATTAATTTGTAATAACTAAATAAGTAACAGTGAACTATAATGCACATTATGTAAAGTATAAAAATAGCTACTTACGGCCACAGAATTATTCGATGACAAACATTTGCTTGATGTTTATAGGTTGATAGGATTTTGATGACTGAAAAGAGAAAAATATACAACAACTGAGTCGGCTTATGATAGTAGAGTCAATTGAAATGATATAGTTATGTAAGTCCAAAAGTATGATTCAGTACTAACTATCTTAGGAGTGCTTGCCTTAGACAATCTAGAATTCTTCTTTTGCCTATGAAACCTATCCACCCAACTACGCAATACTTTTTTAGTTTTTCTGCCATTTCGTTTCTTCAAACCCGTTGGAGTCACAAAGTGGTCAGGTGCATTCTGCACCTGTATTTCCTTGCATAGATCCATTGATGTACTCTTATGTGTTATTTTATCTATTTCTTCACAAAATAGCATTTTGACTCTCTTTGACAATTCAGACATTACGCTACTGACTAACTTTATAGCGGCTTCTGACATGGCAGCCCTGGTAGCAAGTCTTACCATTTCGGGTGCTAATAGCCTATATCGATGGGAAATAGAGAGAGACAGATCTGATGATATTTCTCTACCCTTACAATCGACGTTGCCTCCAGACCTTGCCTTTTTTATCCACCTCTTTGTCACATATTGATCAGGAATAAACTTTGTTCCAACCATATCATACACCTTTAAAGCATGTGAGCATAGGATTCCCTCCTGCTCAAAAAGATTACAACTACAAGTAATGTCTTTAGTTATTGGATTCAATATCACTCTTCTCTCCCTTTCTCCATCATACTGACTGACAATATATTCTACATGCATTGTAGTATGCTTTTAGTCCAAAATCACCATTGTAGTGGATTCATCATATTCATTCTGGAATGCAACAAACATGCATGGAGAGTATATAGAAGCTGTCTCGATCAGTACGGGAGTTTATTGCAATCCCAACATTGGCAGCTTCTGTCAACTGTGATACTCAACTCTTAGTTCATTATATCTTTTTTCATCCACAACTCGGTTAAAATATTTGAAGAATTGAACCAGATCATGATCAAGTTTCAGATATTTTTTATGGAAGCATTTAGACTCTCACTTAGTTGTGTGCTATGCATACCTGCAGTCCAGACGCCTTTCATAAAGTATTTTGCCCATTTCTTTCGATATACATAAATGCCACGCAACCATTCATTTGTTTCAAACTTGTGTTCTTTTAGCATTGCATCCCAGGCCATGATAAACTCATTTTCATCTTTTATCTCATACATACATTCAGCAAATCTATATGGGAGATTACTACCATCCTTGTAATAGTTTCCAGGATGTTTCATGAAATTGACTCTAATATGAAAAGTGCACAGACCATGGTATGTTGAAGGCATAACAGCTGAAATTGCAGCGGCCATAGCTGCATCCTGATTTGTGAAGATGATTTTTGGGTGCTTTCCACAAACTGCCTCTACAAATGTACCGAACATCCACTTGAATGATTCAATGGCCTCATCATATAATAGAGTTGTTCCAAAAATAACCAATTGTCTAAATTGATTGAATCCCACAAATACACCCAATGGTCTGTATTCCTTGTTAGTTTTATATGTGGTGTCAAATGTAACCACATCCCCAAAATAGGTATAATCCATCAGCATTGATGCATCAACTCAAAATATATTTGTAATTTGTTCTTCACAATCAAGCTGCTCTACGTGGAAGAATGACGGATTTTCCAATTTTTGTTTTTCAAAGTATCGTAGCATTGCACCAATTTCACCA